TAATTAAAGTCCCAAGTCAGCTGACCTTAATATATACAGATTATTCTAACCCAATTAGAAGAGCCCTTTGAAAGAAAGAATTTTCTCTGGCTGCTGGCAGGAGAAGTTAGGGATCTGAAGCACGACAATGATTGGATGTGCCATTGTGGGCTTGAGGATGGAGGAGGGCAGCCTCTAGAAAGCAGCCTCCAGCTGACAGCCAGGATGAAATGGGGGCCTCAGTCCTACAACCGCAAGGATCTGAATCTGTCCACAAGCTGCATGAGCTTGGAAGTAGATTCTTTCCCAGTCTCCAGCTCAACTAACACTTTGATTTTGGCCTTACGATACCCTAACCAGAAAAACTAGGTGAGGGTTCCTAGGGAACTAGGAGCTAGGGATTTTCTACCTTCCTTTGATTTTGGCCTTGTGATACCTTGAGAGCCCTTCCAAGCTCAAACAAATCAAGCCTACCTAGACTTCTCCCCTAAAGAACTATAAGTTAATAAATGGATATTGTTTTAAGCCACTAAATTTTTGGTAATTTATCACACAGCAATAGAAAACTAATGCAGGTATTATTTTGTTTTCTTTATTGGTTTTACTTTTATTATAAAACCACTTTACTTTATTATAAAACCACTTTACTTTATTATAAAACCACTACATGGTAATTTCCCTACCTTCCTATTCCCCAAAGATAAACACCGCTAAGTTTCTCCTTTCTCTTTTCAAAAATTCCCTATGAATATGCATGAATACACAAGTGTGTATGTATGCATATATGCCCTCTAAAACACATACACACATATAAAACTCAACAATGTATTTTTTCACTTAATAATCTATCCTGGGGATCTTTCTAATATCAGAACATAAAAGCCCACCTCATTCTTCATAACAACCATGAAGTGCTGGATTATATGCCTGAATCATTTTCTATTAGACTAGCCCCTTATTGAAAGACAGGTTAAATAATAAAGTGGTAACAACTTACCTTTCCATTTGCTAGTTACAGGCAATGCTAGACATGATTTTCTGTTATTTTGTGAGAATATCACTAAGATAAATTCCTGGAGATGGATTTGCTGGGCCAAAGGGTCAATGCAGTTGAAATTTTAACCAGTACTGAAAACTGCTAACCAAAATGGTTGTACCAATTCACACCAACACTTCTACCATGTGAGAAGGACTGCTTCTCCACACCTTGCTATCATTGGAGTCTATCAATTTTTTGAAATTTTTGACAATACGCTAGGTAAACAATACTATCTCGTTATTCTGGTTTGCATTTCTTTTACGATTGCGATGAATCATCATTTCATGTTTTTGTTAGCCATTTTTATTTTTTTTTCTGTGACCTGCCATTTACATCTTTTGCCCATTTTTCTCCTGGTACACTCACTATTTTCATAACAATTTACATAAGCTCTTGGTACATTAAGGCAATCAGATGTTTGCCAGTTATGGGCTATAAAAATATTCTTCACACTTTGTTTTCTTTTGCTTTTGTTGACTACATAGAAATTGTCATTTTAGGAGAGATACACTAGTCTTATCCTTTGGGGCTTCTGGATTAAATTTCATGCTTAGAATCTTTCTGGATCTAGGAGCCTGTGATTTTCTCGCTTGCTTTTTGTAACGGGACTGTCCTGTTCACTGTTCTTTTAGGAATCCCGGGCTCTCCACAAACACTATTTTCTTTGTCAAGATAAGCTCCAGAACACTACACCAGTGTCTCTCCTTCCTCAGAGCACTACTGACACATCTACACAAATAAATTAATGTTCTCATCTCTACCAATTCTTTTGATGGGTATAAATTCGTGTGTCAGTGGCAAATGGCCTGACTCACATAATCCCTACTTAAGAAAAATAGAAAGTGTAACTTTATCTTTTGGGTCAATAGGCACTGAGAGATGACAGTTTTTCTTTCTCATGGAGACATCTAGGAACCCTCACCTGGCATTCTGTGTAACAAACACACGATGGAGACTGTAGCAATAGGAAGGAAGAAGTAAGAGGCGTGGGGAGTGAGGAGGCATTTCACAGTATCAAGACATGAGGACTGGTCCTTCATTTAATTACATTTTCTTCTTTTATACAGAAATAGGAATCTATCAGACTGTGATAAATGATACTTCTCACAAAAAATCTGACAGACTTCTACCCTTTCTGAGTGAATAATAACCTGTTTTGGCTCCATAACACAAGGAAAAATACTCTCAGAACCTGAAAGACTGGCTTCTCAGCCCACTCCTCTGATTAAATATTACTAAAATTATGTCTGAATGGAACAAATTAAGCTAAGTCTACATAGAGAAAAGAAAAAAATAATTAAAAGGATTATTAAAGTCTTAACTACATTTTCTCTAATCTCAATATTAGAACTGAAGAAAATCACAACAATAAAAGACGAATCAACAGGCACGTAAAGTACGGTACAATTACTGCAGAACACTACAAAGAGGAGCAGGATCCAATGTTTGTAATCACTATTGAATTATCTGTAAGAAACAGAATTCATCACTCACTCAGCACCTCGTATGTACTGCCAGGCACTGTGCTGGAGGAATGTAAAGATGAAAACAAGATAGGATTCCAGTCCCCGCATAAGGTATTTGGCCTTGCTAGACCCTCTGTCAGCTTTTACTGTTATGACAATGATGTAGTATAAATCTCCACAGTACAAATGGTAATAATATAGACAGTTGTGAACCCATCACACAGCTTTGGAAAAATAATATTACCAACTGCTTACCCCTCATCCCTGAGGTATGAGGTAACTAATATCATGAAATTGGTCTTTAAAATTACCAAGTTTTCCTTCAGACTCTTACTACAAACGTATATATACATATGCATACATATTCATGTATCTATGTGTGTGTGTAGCCCTAAACAAAATGTTGTATGTAGCAACATGTTAATCTTACATGAATGGTTTAAGTAATACTCTTTTGCAGTTTGCTTTTGTTGCCCAACACCATCCTTGAGTTTCACCCACATAGACATGTGCAGTGCTAGTTCATTTGTTTTCTACGTGCACGGTGTTCTGTGGCTGACTATGCCACGATTCACTTATCCATTTTCTAACTGATAGATATTCACATTGCTTCAAATGTTCAGCTCTTACAAACAATGCTGCTATGAGCAGTCTAGAACATGTCTTCTTGTGTATATGTGCAAAAGTTTCTCTGAAGTTTTACCTGGGAGTGGCATTTCTGGACTTCGGTGGTCTTGTGACAGTATCACAATTTTATCAATTTATCTTTTACCTTATTTACCTTATCATCTTTCATTTATTACTATGGGGAAAATAAAATTTCATTCCAAAGGGGCACCTACCTCTCTCTCCCCCTTCTGCTCCTCAAACATGTTACAGATAACTCCCCCTCTTGACTTGAGAGCCCCTCTGAGCAAAAGGATTGCCTTCTGGGGGAGAGTCACAGCCCTACTTTCAAATATGAAATCAATATCATCTGAAAGCCCATCAGTGTTAAACTCGAGTTTTCATAAGAGTACAATGGAGGTAGGGCTTACTCGTTCATCCTTTCAACCCACCATCCTTAAGACATTCTGAAGACATCTTCCTAAAACACATATCCTCCCCAAAATCCTTGAAAGGCACCCAAAGTCAAATTTCCTTCTACTCCCTGACTTTCCTCTCTCTCTCCACCTTTATGTTCTCTTACAGCCACGCATACACATCTCACACTCTAGCCACACACTGAGAATTCCCCTTCTCTCACTCCATTTCTACCTGCCAAAATCTTGCCCATATTTCAACATCTTGAGCAAGTGACTCCTTCAAACTCTCCCAGACTTTCCTGATTGGAATTAACCCTTTTCTTCTTTGCACCATATTGGATAGAACTTAAAAAACAAAACAAAACCACGATGTACAAAGCAGTCTTCATTGTAGTTGTTGTAATATCGCTCTACCTGCCTTGTAATTAGTACTTGAGGCCAAGGGCCTCATCTCTTGAACCTTCATTGTCCCTACAATGGTTATGGACGCATTAGATAAGTGAAATATGCCACTGCCAGGTCAAAGTTTAGATAAACTCTTGCATACCTACAAGAGAAGACACGTTCAAGACTGCTCATATTTTGTAAGCATTGTTTGTAATAGCTAATATATATAATAGATAATTTCAACTTTACGGAGAAAAAAATGCTAAATAATTCTGATGGAATTTAGGACACCTGACCTCAGAATATGGCATGTTAGCATACTGAATATTTTAAGATGAAGGAATCTGAGAAACAGCATGTGCAGGAAGGACTTTCCGACCTGCCCCTAAAGTAGGTCATAAAACCCTTATGTGAGAAGTACCCTCCCTATACCCGGAGGAAGGAGCATACTTATCTCTGAAGACAAAGGGACACAGAGGAATGTGAACGAACAGGCCTTGCTAAGTTTCCCCCAGTTTACTACAATTAGCTCACCTTTGTCCTGTCACATCTTTGCACAACTTTCCATCCTTCATCAAATCTAGCATAAAAACACTCAGGTTTAACCGTTTCTTTGTGTCTTCATTTCCTTATGAAGGCTTGCATGTCACGTAAAACTTGTATTAAATAAATTTGTATGCTTTTCTCCTGTTAATCTGTCTTTGGTTACAGGGTGCCCAGTGGGGAACTTATAAGGGTAGAGGAAAAATATTTTTTCTTCTCTACTGTTCTTAACAGCAATCCTCTTCATGTGAACTAACATTTCTGCATTTCCTAAAGATAATCCTAACATGGAAATGCCTTGTATCATCCACAAATTTAGAAATGAAAAAAGACATAATTGAAAAGAGACCCCATACAAAAAGGAATTCTCAATTTCAGAGTCCATAAGCTCTGAAAGAGAGGATAAGGTTTGGGCTGACTTATCAGAAAGAACAACTTATTGATAAAACAACAGGAAAACCAAGATAATAAGATGTGAAGACACCTGAATTTCAAAATGCCTGGATTATTTTAAAAACCAGCAAAAATAAGTACAACAAAACTCAAGAAAGGGTAATTTACCTGCATGAGCAGAGAGAGGCGAGTGTGGTCGAGGCAATGCTGGTGACTGCCCATTGCCTATCAAGCTCTTTCGGTTGCTTGTTCGGCAACTGTCAAAAGGAAAGTAAAAAGAAAGCTTTAGAAAGAGAACACAGCATCAATAACGTTCAGGTATATTCAACATAGGTATAGACTAGAGGTTGAACAACCTATCTGCTCACGCTGCTGATAAAGTTTTTGCAAGATAATATGCACTCGCTAATGTTTGAGGGGTGGCTGCCTCTTGCATATTAGAAAACATAATGTATTCACACAGTATAACACCATCAGTATTCCTCACCACCAGTGAAGCTATAATCAAATGCCTTCTTTCAGCTCTTGACTGCAAATTTGTAAGCCATACACACAAGTGATAAATTAAGGATTGAAACCAGCAAACCACAGGTAGCATCTTTGTTGACACAAAATTTCTAATACAAAATTACGTGCAATGAAGTGCAATGACATTAATCTTACAATGATGCACTAATTAAAAATCTAATTATTTATACAAATTTCATATTTGTGCCTTTTGTCAATAGAACAGCTGATGCCTAAGATGAATGTATTTCACTACTCATTCATTTTTCATCTTGTATACTGCATTCAAATTCCTTATTAAGGTAAACATTTTGGAATCATAAAAACAGATTCTAGTTTGTATTAAAATAACAGCGGGCCGGCCCTGTGGCTTGGTGGTTAAGTGCGTGCGCTGCGATGCCGGTGGCCCGGGTTTGGATCCCGGGTGCGCATCGAGGCACCGCTTCTCCGTTCATCCTGAGGCCGAGTCCCACATACAGCAGCTAGAAGGATGTGCAGCTACAACATACAACTATCCACCGGGGCTTTGGGGGGAAAAAATAAAATAAATAAAATCTTTAAAATAACAGCAAAGCCTTTTTGCACAGGCACACTACCTACTGTTTTTATCCCCAGTGAGGAGAAATAAATTGCTACATATGGGCACAGGGCAACTATTTTTTCCTGTTTCTGCTAGCAGAAAGTTATAAAATGGTTAATTTGATTCCAAAGTAACTTTCATAAGCCTCAAAGGATAAGACAAATGCAAAACTGGTTGATGACGGAGTAGACATTATCTTATTTTCATCTGCTTTTCTTCAGTACAGACGGGCACTTCATTCTCTATTATCAGTACAGTAGTTAGACAAGGCTAATAAAAACCAGCAGGTTACCTCATTGAATTCACCTCTAACAAGGTTCAGGGCACTGTGATTCCACCCTCCCACACTCAGGCTGCCCTCAACCATCAATAAAGGTTTATTGTAATGTCTTCTTAACGCAGAACATACATCTGTTATATCAAGTTCTTGAAATAGGAATTTTCACCTGACTTCTAAACTAGGTATAGGAGACATATTTGAGAGTTTGTACAAAATATTTGAAAGGAACATTTCTAAATATTCAAATAATACATTTCAAAACCAAACCCAATTTCTTTCAGCGATATTGACGCGGGAACCAATCCTCTCTCTTAGATGTTTGCTGCTTACTATCGTTTGTCTGTCCGCGTTCCCATACTCATAACTTCTTAAGGTCAGGCTGCAGCCTTTTATTTCCCTCACTGGAGCAATCAACAGCCCATAGCACTATCTGCGAGGTTAATTAAGATCGTGTTTACGCAGCCTTAAAGAAGCTGTTGAATAAGAATAGACCCTTGATACTTAATTATGAAGGTGGACTGTGATATCAGCTCGTCTATCAAGAACTGTATTCGCCTAGTAAATTCATAATTATTAAATCAGATAGATTGTTTTTAAAAGATACTGAATAATGTATTTAGTGTTAATTCAAATTAATGTCTCTTTTCATTTCAATACAGGAATATTAAATATATCAACTTGCTGATGTTAATAAAAGAAATTATAAATGACAGATTTATACCCTGTAAATCTCAGTTAACTTATGCATTAATTTGAGCAAATTAATTGAAATACAGGTTAACTATCACAAAAATGGCTACTTGTATTATTTTTTACATTTAGTATTTGATTTAAATCATTTATGAAGATTTTCTCTTGACATTTAATTATTAATGTTTATATATGTAAATAAAATGAATAAGAAATGTGTATCAATAGAAATAGTAATCTAATGAATATCTTACATAGTGAAATATGCTGACTTACTTAAAGCTAAAATTTAGAAAATATTTCTTAAAGAAAACTTTAAAAATTTATATTTTCCTAAAAACACATAGAATGACTAATACACTACCACAACAAGCAAAATAAATAGGCAACAATTTAAATTTAAAACAAAAACACTTAATAAAGAACTCTCACAATATTATCAGTTATTTAAAATCCACCAAAAAAGGGTGGAAAAGTACTGATTTAAAAAATGTAATTCAAAAAAATCTCAAAAAAATGTCTAAATAAAACCTGAAAATGTAATATACTTGTTTAGTCAATATAAAAACATAAAAATATAAAATTTAAAAATATGAAAACAGTCTATATTACATTCATCCTGTGTTTGCCAACTCTCTATAAAAGTTTGTAATCTTTACAAACAGATGATTATGAACGCAATTTAGAGTGAAAGAAAACATGGGCTACTTCGTCCAGGAATACATGAGCAAGTTAAAAGAAGTTAAAAACAAATTGCCTCCTAATTTGAACAGTTTCCCATATTTAAGGTACTGGTAGCATGTTACACAAAACCTTAAATATCAGAGGCATATCTTGTGGACAAACGCTATGAACAAAACAATCAAAGCACACTCCATAACTGCAAGTGTCTTCTCTAACCCCTCTGTGGATCTTCAGCATGAAGCTAGAGAGGGTATTAAAATTATAACAGTTGGAACTTTCTTGAATCTCAACAATCCAACAGGAAGCTTTTAAAAACGCAATACTACTCAGTATGGCAAAACCAGACCATAAAATACAGGCCAAGACAGAGATCTCCACATGTACACAAAATCTTCACAGTCATGAAGAGTCTAGGCCTCACCAAAGAATTTATTTGTTGCTAACATTCTTAGGGTAAAGAGGCATTTTATACTGCATTTAATCTCCAAATAGCTAAATCCTGATATATATATATTAATACTTTTAGAATCCTGGGACCTTACTGAGACATTCTGTAGATAACTTTCCAAGGTGGGGCAGAGGGCAGTCCAATCTCAGTAGTACCTGCTTCTGATATCTCTGAGAGTCACCTAATTTATTGCTTTAAAAACTGCATTTAACCCCATAGTAAGAAAACTATGGGGCAGGACCTATGAGTACTTAGTACCCAGATTGCCACAGCACCTGGCACTGCCCACGTTAATAATGACACTGGTGCAAAATGCTGAGCTGACTTCTGTTGTCATTATTTATTCATCCAGGTAGCATGCACTTTTCGATGAAAAGAGAAGCTTATAGCATCCAAGTGTGAGGTAGGCTCCCCAGGTGCTGGTGACCACACCCTACTCATTTAATCTACAAAGCGATACAGTAGTAGAAATATTGCCACTTGGGCAAGATCAAGGTCCCTTCCCTTCCACTAACATGACTAAGTCAATTCAGTCTTACTTTTTCTCAAGCAGTGTCACCCGAGGTAAAAACAAGTGATGTCCTACCAGGTAAAACAGGAACATCACTTCTCTAATAGCAGAAATTTCTCAACTTGTTTAAAATTTATCCTCACCTAAGCATTTGAGCTTGTAAAGAGTTATCTCCAGTTTTCAGCCTTAGAGACACAGGTATATGATTGCAAAAATGGAACCGAAGATCAGTTATGAACTGAAGTTTCAGCTATCCATCCCCAAATGCATTCTTTCTGCTTCATTCTTTAAGCAGAAGTGGAAGCCATTCACCCTGCCCAAGTTCCTATCTGAAAGCCAAACACAGGCATACCCACTTCCCAGAAAGCACCTCCTCCTCTTTAGTTCTCCAGTTGAAGCAACACATGGAGACACTCTGCCTGTGGATAACACGCTCAGTTCATTCTCTCAATTTGGAAGGTGACACAATGGCACAGTTAGATTCTTTACTTGCAAAATCTGAATTTAGCACAGACAACACACACACACACACACACACACACACACACAGTACAACAAACACTGCTGACGGTGGACTTGGGATCTGAGAAGAATGGGAAGGGGGAAAGACAATGACAGTACTTTTGAGTGAGTAGAACTGGCTGGCCCCTGGAGGCTGGGAGGCAAGGCAGGCAGGGACAGAACACTCTGTGAGTAAGAAAGCCACAGTTGGATGGGCACTGGGGTGGAGATGTTTTAGTGTGACATGAGCCACCACCAGGAAGTGTTTTATGGGTCGGCAGTGAGGATTGAATAGGGCACCACTCCTGCTCCCTGACTTCACTGTTCCCATTCTCTAAAGCAGTTTCACAAGGAGCTTCTCAATCTCCTAATAACCACCCACAGCGCCTTCCATTTGCTAGGAAGACAAAGAGCTGGATCGTGCATTTCATCATCCAAGTCAGGCCCGACTCAGTGTGAGACAAAGAGAAATACGGGCTACTAAGCTGAAGGAGGGGTGGGGAAGGTGGTGCATGTATTTTTGGTCCAAAACATCTCTATTCCATTTTTGCTTAGGTTGTCCTTATGCTCAGGGCTCCATATGGAGGGTCTGGCGGGACCTCTAAGCATTTCACATCTGGATCTGTCATATTTCTCATGGTAGAAGAACCTGTTAATTATCGCCTACCAGGTCTGTAAAAGCCATGAGGCCCACCAGGCTATGGCCTTTTGCAATTGTTCTGAGTAGCTGAAATCCAGATTAATTTCAAATTACATTCATTTTGAGACATGAATACTGATCATGTCTGACCATGGCAAGACAAGCTGAGGAAGGAAACCCCAACAGGCAGTAATTTCTAACAGTCACAGCTGACTTGAAAGGTCAACACTCAGTACGACACATGACTGACCACCACTGAGGGGCAATGATCTCACAGCGAATTGCATAAAAAAAGCCCCGGTCATTCTGAAAAGCTAGGCTACAATATATTAATTCATCTTGATGAAAAGTTTGATAAATTTGCACAGGAGACCAATTATAGACCTAAGCTTTACTGCACATGAACATCTGCTAAC